CAGCAGGAACATCCTTTTGCCTTTGTCTCCTTAGTGATCTCCCTTCTCTGCAGATACTCTCCTGAGGAATTCCACATTCCAACCCATTTCTTGCCAAATTGTGATCCACTCAGATGGCAGCCACACTTTTTTTCTCCTCCCTGAGTAAAACAAAGACCTGAACACATAGGCAAGAAAATCTCTGCTGTCTTCAGTTTCGCCCAGATTACTGAATGGTCAGCAGCAAAGTAAGAGTCACCCCACTTCCACCGTTCTGGACTGAAACATTCTCCATGTGGATGAACCATGTATGAATTTAGGTTCTAAAAACATGTTCAGCCTTTATGAAAACCCTCATCATCCCTAAGCCTTTTATATAAGAAACCATCAGATACCTTAAGTATGGAAGAGATGCTCTCTGTGTTGCCTTTAACAAAGAAAACTATATAACCAAAGGGAAAGTTAGTATGTAATACAGAAAAAGAAAAAAAAAAAGAAAGAAAAAAAAACACATGTAAAAACGACTTGGATCTTTCACTGTGGCTCTTTCAGGGCTAAAAGATTGTTCTTTTTTTTTTTTTTTCCCTCACCAAATTATTTTAGAGTACTTTTTTTGCTACTTTTAATATATAGCTATTGCTTCTACATGTGTACATTTTTGCTTTTCTAAACCCTACTTATTAAATTAGCTTATTTCAGAAAATGAATCCATAAGGTAGTCTTACTCAATCAGCCTGATTTCTTGAATTACTTTCTTACCTATGAAAATTCAATTATCACTTTTGATTGCCCTTAATGAAATGACAAACGTGTTTAATAAAGTAGGTAGCTTCAGCTCATATTGCCTTTTGATGTACAAGCTTACCGCTCATTAACATTAATAAAGTTTTTACTTCCAATATTGAAGAAAGAAATTTCCCTTTTTTTATCTCTATATTATAGATGAGATCCTAGTATGACATAAAGCTTTCAGGTGGTTGAAGAATTTTTGAATCACCTTCTTTTTAGATTTTGAGATCAAACATATTGACTTAAGTACACAGGCTCTAGAACTGGGAAAATCTGTGTGCTAGAATTATCTTTTTGGGGGATTACATTCTTGGTGTGAAGAAGTGTTAATGACATGTTTGTGAGGTTAATGTCGGGTAAGGTCATGAGAAGTCATAGCCAGAGTGGGGGCCTAATGTCTTAGCCCCTGAAGGAGAATGTAAATGGCTGCTCTCAGCTAACAGCCCAGTTGGTTGGCAGGACCTTATCAACCTCTCCTTTGTTCTGGCTTTTACAGCTTACTAGAATCTTCGAAGTGAGTGACAAGTTCTTTCTTTACACATAAATTACTGCTAATCACCTTGTTAATTTTATATGCCTGCCTCAAATTTTAGTGAGCTCTTAGTTATATAGTATTCATATGACTGTACGAATTGCAGTTTTTTGTTTGTTTGCTTTACTGAAGTCCTTCATCTTGTTTGAGTTAGTGAATTCAAACAAAATATTGAGTAGTTGCCTACTTTAAGTTTTGGAAAAGAAGGGAAAAAATGAAATAATTATGTAAAAAATATATCAAAAGTAGGACCCTAATAAAAAAGAAAAGATAATTAAAAAAGAAACCAAAAGATTAAGAAAAGAGAACTAATTTGAAGTCTCCTCTCCCAATATGCTGAATATGATTATCTTCTCATTTACGTTAATGGAAATCTCATGGGACTTCAATGGATGTACATATTTATCAATGATTTTGAGTATTTGTGTGTAGCACATGCCTTGTGCAGCAGATCTGAAACATGAGTTGTCCTGTTTGGGTCACAGGAGGAGAGGACCTGTTTAAATCCTGTATATCCAATCACTCATGAATGATTGGGTCCCTGGAGGAATGAGGAGAAATGCTGACTTCCAGTTTTATAAAATCAAAATAAGAGTACCTGTTTTCTGTCTTATTTTAAATAACATTTACATAGTCTATTAAAGAACAGAAAACAATGGCTGAATGGTTGAATACTTAGTGATAAGTGTTTACTTACTTACACTATCTACTTATGCAAATATGCTGCTAGAGCTTAAAAGTTATGGTTGAAGTACAGTTGAAATCTTGTGAGGCAAAACCAGTATGCCGAGAATGAGAAGCAAAAATCTCATCTCAGTTTGAATTTTGTTGCAGTAAATTTCATCAGACTTGAGCCTAATAAAAAACAAAAATGAAACAATCATCTGTTTTGTTTTGTGAGCCTTCACATTGACTATATTCTTTGTGCTGGAGGTCCCCTCTTCTACTGCCTAATTATTCAGAAACTGCCCTGTTTTCCCTAATTTTAATAATACGGAAAAGAGAAATATTCAATATGTTGGATGGCTGTTGGATGGCTCTGTATGTCTTACAGAATCATAGAATCATTACGATTGGAAAGGACCCTTAAGATCAAGTCCAACTGTAAACCCTTCAACACCATGCCTGTTAAACCGTGTCCCTAAAAGCGCTTCATCTACACATTTCTTGAACACTGCCAGGGACGGTGACTCCACCACTTCCCTAGGCAGTCTGTTGCAATGCTTTACCAGTCTTTACATGCAGAAATTCTTCCTAATGTCTAACCCAAACCTCTCCTGGCACAACTTGAAGCTATTTCTTCTTGTCCTGTCTATAGTTATTCTGAAGAAGAACTCAACTCGCACCTCATTACAACCCCCTTTCAGATAGTTGTAGAGGGTGATAAGGTCTCCCCTGCATCTCCTCCAGACTAAATGACCTCCCTCAGTTGCTCTTCATAAGGTCTGTGCTCCAGACCCTTCACCAGCTTTGTTGCCCTTCTTTGGACATGCTCCAGCATCTCCACGTCCTTCTTGTATTGAGGGGCCTAAACCTGAACATAGTATTCAAGGTACGGCCTCACCAGCATCAAGTACAAGGGGACAATCACATGGTCCTGCTGGTTACACTGTTCCTGATACAGACCAGGAGGCCCTTGGCCTTCTTGGCCACCTCAGCACGCTGCTGGCTGATGTTCAGCCAGCTGTCAACCAGCACTCCCAGATCCTTTTCTGCCACGCAGCTCTCCAGGCACTCTGC